AATCTGTCAAACGACGAGTTCTTTCCACAAGAAGAACATTAACTCTGTCCACGAGCTCACTAATACCTCTACCCATCCACATAGGGTTAACAGGAGAGTTAGCAGGTTTACTTCCACCTTGTTGAGCAGGAGGGTTAGCAGGTTTTTTCCCGCCATAATGACCTTTCTTCCTACCATAATGCTCTTTAACAGCTCTGTCGTTAAGAGGAACATTACACATTATCTCAATAGCATTGAACCACCACACTAATCATTAATTAAATCTTCCAAAAACTATTGGTCATAACTACGTGGGGGGACAAAGACTTCATCGAGACTCTCAAATGGACCAATCATCATCTTCATCATTGACAACCAAATCTTCCATGTTGAGACTAGCTTCCATTAACCCAACATCGGTTACTGATATATACCATATTTCACCAATTTTTACTATGTTTATAATAGGTTTTTAATTAATAAATAACTTGATTTTGACATTTAATTGCTATTTCTATTATTTTCGTGGGTCTTAAAACATTTGTAGATAATTAGACCATTTTGGGCCTAAAAAGACGAGAAACAAGCCTTTTTAAAGAAAAGATATATTATGTTTGTCAGATTTTTCGCCTCATATGAATATGTTCTCACCGTTGGATCACGGTCAAATTTTGCCACGAGATATACAAGGATCTCAGCTTCACATAGCATATTCGATCATGAAAATCTGATGGTGAGATCTGAAGATACGCCTAATATACGAAAACTGGCAGATTTCCAAATATTCGAAGAATATCCCTAAATCTCTTGGGATAGACCTATCCGACTTCCTCGCCTATTGAAACAGAAAGAGGCCACGAAAATCAACACCACCTTCACAGTCACCGCCATAGTTACAAGTTTTCTTTGGGGGAGAGCCTTTGGCTCGAACTCTTTAGTTTTAGAGTTTTTATCGAGCTTTTACATATTGATCTTTAAGAGAGAAATCTTTCAATCTTTGTACCAGCAAAGATAAGCTTTCTAAACTCTCTTTATTAATAATATATTTTCATTCTACTCTTGTTATGATCTTCACTTCTATGATTGAGTAGTTTGATTGTTGGGTTTAAGGGGTTTTCATGGAGAGTTATTCATGGATCGATAAATAGAAATATTTCATATAGGAATTTAGTGGAGTCTTCATCTATACTTTCATCTTCTGTATGTTGCTAGTATAACCAACTGGTGATTGAATCTAGATTGATCTTTACCTATCATTGCGAGAGTCGTATTAGAGAGTAGTAAATGATTGATTGGAACTAGTATAGATGAACTTGATCCTTTATCATTGCGAGAGTCGTGTTAAGGATCAGGTTAACATATCGAATCTTAATCCATTTTATGCATATCATCCATCTAATTTCTTTGCAAGAGTCGAGTATTAGGTTGATTGATATATTAGTCTTCACTGCGATAGTTGGTTGACTATATTATTAAGTGAATTCGAGTTAAGAATCACAATTTGCTAGATTTACATTGGATGAGCTTTGTATCAAATTCTATGGCACGCTTACATTTTCACGTTCATAACCTGAATGAATTAGGTTGTTAGACATGTTTAATCATTGATATGAGAATACTATGGTTAATTTACGACTAGATTGCATATTTAACTAGATTTGTGTTAATAGTTCCTGAATAAATTGCTCTATGAATCCTGAGATTTTCCTGTTGCCCAACGTTTGTTTCCATTGCTTTATTATCGACATTCATTTAATCACATCATC